GAATTAGATAACTTACTCCAAGTTCCCCCAATAAACAGCAACGTTGAACATGGAACTCTGACTAGTCTCAAACTAGCTTATTTGCTGATGAAGAAACTGAGACCAAAGTAGACAGATAATGTGCCAGAATTTAACTAGAACTCCCACAGCTTTTGTAAAAATTAAAAAAACCATTTTATTGGGGCTCGTACAACTGTGATCAAAGTCCATACATCTATCCATTGTGTCAAGCACATTTGTACATTTGTTGCCCTCATCATTCCCAAAACATTCATCTTCCACTTGAGCTTCTCATTTTTACCCCTCCCTCTTTGCTCCCCCCTCCCTCATGAATCCTTGATAATTTACAAATTAGTATTATTTTGTCATATATTACACTGTCTGATGTCTCCCACCACCCACTTTTTTGTTGTCTGTCCAACAGGGAGGAGGTTATATGTAGTTCCTTGTAATAGGTTCCTCCTTTTTACCACACCTTCCCTCCACCCTACCAGTATCGCCACTCTTAGCATTAGTCCTGAAGGGATCATCTGTCCTGGATCCCCTGTGTTTCTAGTTCCCAATTGTACCAGTGTACATTCTCTGGTCTAGTCATATTTGTAAGGTAGAATGGGGATTATGATACTGGAGTGGGGGGAGGGAATAAAGCATTTAAGAACTAGAGGAAAGTTGTATGTTTCATCATTTGTATACTGCACCCTGAACTGGCTTATCTCCTCCCCGTGACCCTTCTGTAAGGGGATGTCCAGTTGCCAAGAGATGGGCCTTGAGTCCCCAATCTGCATTCCCCTTCATTTACAATGATTTGATTTCCCATAGCTCTTTTGAATTTTTTTCTTACTTCGTATTTAGAATTTATACAATTTCAAAAGTAACGTAGAAGTTCTTTTTCCTTTGGAAAAAAAAATCACACTGCATATGTAAGTGGGGTGGGCAGGCAGAGATGAGTTTAAAACATTTTTTTCCTAATTATTCTAAGTATATCCAGACTTTCAATAGGATACATATATCATCAATATAACCTAAAGAGGTGTGAATGTTTAGATATTTTTTATTTTATAATTTATTTTTGTTGTTGTTGTTAAGAATAAATACAGCAAAACATATAGCAATTGAACAGTTCTGACATGTACCATTTGGTAAAATATATTACAATCTTCAAGTTGTGCAAACATTCTCACTTTTCCTTTCTGAATTATTCTGAAAGCAACCAATCTAATCTTTCAAGTTATTGTCAATTTGATGCCATAATTATAATTTTTAAAAGAGTATAATGCCCAACACATTTTTTAATTAAACTAAATTATGTTTCATTTTATGATAATTTGGGGGAATAGTTTTTGATAAAAATTTAGTTGCAGGGGTTCATCTAACATTTATGGCTCCAGGAAGTATGGAATCCATTAGAATTTAAAACTGTTTTATGCATTTTTCTCCTTTTGTTTAAGGTTCCTCAATAAATCTTAAAATGTTCGATAATGTAGTCAGATTTTATCTAATTCCTCACTAGCCACACAATCTGTATCTTTTGCCTATTTCTGGCTCTCCTCTTTCCTCTGTTGCTCTAGGTGAACAGAGCCCAACTGTGCCTTGGATGGCTGCTTGAGAGTTGTTCTTTTTTAATCCTTTTAATGGGAGCTTATACAACTCTTATCACAATCCATACATACATCAATTGTGTAAAGCACATGTGTA